ACTCATTTTCTGTAGTTTTTAATGTTCTCATTTTACCACTGTAATGCTCATTGGCAGATTTTGCGTAAACTTTGCTTAATGCAAGAAGTAATTCACAGATCCATGGAACATACAGAAATATGGAAGCATTTTTTCGTGCTCTACAGTTACGCGCCAGGTGGCCTCCAATTAGTCACACTGGATCGGCGATTCTGCTCTTCAAGAAAAGGAAACAAATGAATGTGAAGAACCAGAGGTCGATCAGCTTGGTGGGATGAACTCTGGATCTTAAAGAAAGCAGTGACAAATAGACCTCAAGAAAAGTCGGACTCCTTACTGCCAGACGAGAACGCAAGTTCACGCAGTGGACTTCACATCATGAATTATCTACAAGTCGTACAACGACCGATTCAGACAAACAACAGGTAACTTTCCAGCAACGAACAGCTCTACCTGAGTTTGGTAAGTTTCGAGAAAACTGCTTTCGACCCAGTCTACATGCGATGTGCACTGGATGCCTTAAGGAGTCGAGGTGTCGAGGAATCAGCTGGTTACTCGCTGTCTTGATTATTTTCAAGAATGTCACTTGAGGTGCGAAGCCGGAATGGCATCGATCACGCCGCCCATGTTTGTACGTACGTTCGTAGGTTTGTCCCACTGAACCGACCCTTGCATTTGTCTTTGTGAACGTCACTGAGTTTGAAGCTGACTTTGCAAAAGCTTTCGATTTGTTTGCGTTTTCAATTAATAACCGTTTATTAGTCATATTCCGCGTGGGCGAGCAGCCACGTCGCCTTATTTGCCAGTAATATCACGTTGTGATCGAGCTTTTGATTTTGCTAACGACCTGCTTTCGCCGCGCTCCCTTGATCTCACAAGCATTACGCCACCGTGTTCCTGTGATGCAGGCGTTATTCATGATTTACGCTTCGATGGCTCGCATTTTAATCGTTCCCTACGCGATCATCGCCAAAGACTATACCCGAGTTTTCCAACAAGTTTTTTCACACTCCATCGCTTAGGGTT